ACTTAACCCTGATTGCCTTGCCAAAAAGGAAGGAAAGAAAGAGAGAGAGAGAGAGAGAGAGAGAGACAGAGAGAGAGAGAGAGAGAGAGAGAGAGAGAGAGAGAGAGAGAGAGAGAGAGAGAGAGAGAGACAGACAGAGAGAGAGAGAGAGAGAGAGAGAGAGAGAGAGAGAGAGAGAGACAGAGAAAGAAAGAAAGTAAGTAAGTTAGTTCTAAGTAGTTCCTTCAGTAGAGCTCTTTGATAATCCCAAAATTCTAGTCCCACTGATGGGAATGGGGATCACAACTCCCAAATTAAAAAAAAAATGAGCAAACTCAACAAAGAATAATTTGTAGCATTTACCATCTTTAAGTCATTGTCCTTAAAGACACCGAATATATTCATATGCCCAGAGGCAGTGGGAATTGTTGTCATGATATACGCCAAGCATCACCTTGATGCACAAAGACCACTCTGGAATTCAACTTATTCTGTATTACCCTTCCTCTACTTCCACCCCTATATTGCTAATGATCACCAGTGTTCCAGCCTGGGTCTGATTCAAGTTGATTTGGCACCTCATTTCTAGAATGGGAATAAAATGAGACCCTGTAGACCATGTAAAAACAAAAGGATATCTACAAAGACACAGCATACAAAGCATACTGAGCAAGGATACTGCACTGATACAGTAGAACGTAGCTTCCCTTTGTTACCCTTTTGTTAGCCACACACAAGTCTGCTAACCAGACACCTGTTAGAAGAGTTACTGATTCCTTATTCACTAACTTTTTTATGCTTAGGCCACCAGGAAGCTACGTCAATGGCCCTAGCCTCAGTCCTCTCAGACAAGAAGGTCTTGAGGAGGGCTTTCGATACCTTTAAAAGAAAAATTAGTCTAGCTTATTTTTTCCTACCACAAAATACACAAGCTAAACAAATTCCCCAAATCTGATCAATTTTAATTTACAGTGAATATAACATTTCTCATAGGTCTTTTACTGGAATCAAAATAAACGGCTACATTTTATCTCATACAGACATAATAGCCTTATCTGAAATTGTAAAATAGACCTGGTATTCAGGAAACTCATAATGCCATGTTAGTTAAGGCAAAAACTAGTCCCTTTTGAGATAACATCAAATATAACTGACTATATAGTAATAACCATGCATTACAAATGGGAAAATTCAAAATAATTATTCCTAAATCTTTTCAATGGCCAGACCTAATAAAAATATGACTAAAGCTGAGGAAGCTCAGAGAAGTTCAAGGTTATATACTTAAGACAAAAATGTCTGAAGTTAGAGTAAATGGGTTTGAAGGCCAGGTTTTCTACCTATTTGGCCTTGGATACATCAATTCCCTCTCTTGGCTTCAGTTTCTTCAACCATATAACAAGGGGTTCAAGTAGATGATAAAATTCCTTCCTGCTCCAAATCCTATGAAGCAAGTTTACAAGAATCCACTGCTGACTGACTGAATTTGTTTAAGAGGCATTTTTGCCCTATGACGCATTTTAGATTTTAGATTTGCATAGTTTTCAAAAATCATGTTCATTTAGACTAACATGGAGATTTTAAAAACTGAATGACTATAATTTTATGACACTGAATGTTTCTTTTGGGGTTCCACTTCTTAAAAGTAATATTCCAAAGGATAAAAAGAAGCTGCCTTCAAATTGAATGGAAGCGGAATATTAACAGTGATGGGAATCTGTCTATGTGTCTTCAGGATGGCTCTAGAACATTGGTACCAAACTCAAATGGAAACAAAGACCAAAAAAACATACATAAGGATCCCTGTGGGCTACATAATAACTTTAGAAACCATATCTTAACATCATCATTGTTTTATCATATTTTCACTTATTGTGTAAAATGTTTCCCAATTACATTTTAATCTGATTCACACATAGGCCATGTGTTTGACACCTCTGCTCTAGAATACCCTGTTCTGAGTTCTCATAGGGACTGAGGTAGTACAGTGGCTGTATTTTGGTACCTCTCCTAATCGTGTGATATCCTGTTATAATAATTAGGTCATTTTGAGCTTACAGGGCAAAATAATGATCTGTAAGGTCCATCTGGTCAGGAATTTTAGATAAAAAACTCTGAATTTCATCACAATTGCTCCAAGCCCCCAATCAGGAAAAAATTCCTGACTCCTAGGAAAAGAATGGGCTTTCTACCTTAAGTTACATTTATAACTCTCTCTAGCTAACCCTAGGTATTTGTGGTTAAAGCAAAATCCAGTTTATTGGAAATATTTGGTAACAAAACTGTAGATTATATGACATTACAGTGCGATAGACAATCAATCAGGAAGCATTCGAGCACCTACTTGCCTACAAGTGGCAAGCACTTGTGCTAAGCACTGGGAATACAAAAAGAGGCAAAAGACAGTCCCTGCTCTCATGGGGAAGAGAAGTTAGAGAAAGAGATGATCTTTTCTTGTGATCTTCTTCAGCCTGGGTACTCTTCTCAGGGTATGTGGGCAAGCTAACGATCTCCTTTTGTCTCCCTTCTCTGGTACACCTCACTTCTCTTTTTCCTTCAGTTTCTCGAATTCAAACACCCAGAATCTCTTTTTCTCTCAGTTTTGAGATAGCCGTCTCCCTTTGATACGCTGGCATATCAAAGAGGCAGTGCACAGACCTCTTTCACATTCGGTTCTACTAAACCCAACAGAGCCTCTCTTTATACTCGCAAGTAGCTTTTGTTTGGATAAAAGAACATGGCCACAGAGCATATTTCTGAGCCTCTGAGTTCTGCACATTTCTATCTGCCAAAAATTCTGATATCCTTAATCCTGCTTACTATACCCACCCAGAAAACAACAACAAAATGGGAAATTGGGTTATTATTTTTAAATTAACTTGTATTTTTGATCCTCTAGTGAGGCATTCCTATTGCACTCCCTTTTCTCATTTTCTAGAAAGTACATGCAGAGATTATCCTGGTATTGAAAACTATTTTCTAAGTCTAAGAGAAACAGGTATTAACCTTGGGCAATTCACTTAACATCTCTGGGCCTCAGATTCCTCATCTGTAGTTCTGGATTTCTGCTGGAGTTCTGCATTTCTGCTCTTACGCCCTCTCCTACAAAGCCTCAAAAAGTGTTACCACTGCTGCTATTGAGGCTGCTGATTTAGTCAACAATGCAGATGATATGGACTTACAGAGCTTGTGACCAATGAGTCTAGTACTGATGACACCAAATTTGGTGAGACGACATTACCTGCCCTTACAGATAACATTCCCTCTCTCCTGAATCCAGATTAAAGAAAGAAGCAGCTGCCCCAACTTCTCTCTTGTGTGAAGAGAAGTGTTTACAGCAAACAGGCCTCTGCTTCATAACTACACAAATTGTTCCCCCTCTCCATGCCAGTCAGTTCATTCCTTCTCTACCAACTTCCCACTGTTACATGGTACATAGCTAAAACTCTGCAGTAAATTTTATATTAGCCACACTAAAAGATATTTGAAAGAATGAGTCTGCCTGGGTAGGCAAAGCTGAAGATATATTCAGCCTTAGAGAGGAGGTGGCAAAGTGATGAATGCCCCTTTGGGAAATCACAAACCTTTTCAGTCACTACAATCATACTCATTAGCCAGCCTGAAGTTGATTTACAGGAGGGAGTATAAATAGAGAGACAGTTTGATAATCTGAAGCAAAGTAAAAATCCCCTAAACTAGAGAAGAATGGGGGCAGACAGAAACCAACCTGGAATGAAGGAGAGGAGATAGCTTTCTGTGAGTAACTCCTTTTGGATTTCTTGCTGGTATTTACATGGGTTTTCCCCCACATCCCTTTCTAGCAGCTTGGATGAGGACTTACAGGGTGAAGGACTCCCTCTGGCACCTTCACCAACACTCATAATTAGTATTTACATTACAAATGGAGGCCACTTTTCAATGAGTCATGGATAATCTCTCATTAGGTGACCAGTCAGTTTGAAACTTACATGTCTGGAGCAACCCTAATTCCCCTGATCCTGTCCCAAATTCAAATGACAATTTCCTATAGTGTCCATTATGTATAGTAACTCTTAGCCTAACTTCAGCCTTAAAGCATGATGCCTGGACTAACCATCCACTCCAAGGACTTGGAGTAATTTTTTCTCTTTAATTTCTCAAGCTTCACTGTTATAACCCTTTGTTTCCTTTTTTACTTGCTAACAACCACAGGTGATCTCTTCACTCACCCTATCACCCTAGAGTTTGTTCTTCATACATGTTCCAGGAAAAGAGACGGTCTTCCTGCCACCCCACCCCCCCGCCCAATACATCAAAGTTCAAAACTTTTGGATTTGGAGATAGAAGATGCAGATTCAAATCCTGGCTGTGCTACTTACTGCCTCTGTGGCCCTAATCTATATAATGAAGAAGATGAACTAGCTCTAAATCCATGTCCCTATGATCATTTCCTATGGGAAGGAATGGATATTTCACCATGGTTCTCCATCAGAGTGAGTGACTCCTCTCTAGTGGTTTCAGTGGACCAAGCTGACAAAAAGAAGACCTATGTCACTCATTCTCTTCTAATACCCTGCACTCTGATTATGATAGCCTGGCCTATGGCTGAAAATGGGCAAACTTTTACATACTCTAAACCAATACATACATATTTACATTTGTCCCTCTTTATATGAAGATTAGGGTCCTAATGAAGTTAGGAAATTATTCATTTAAAAAATGACAAAATTAAAAATGAATAAAAATTGAACAGACTCTCTTTCTTCCCATTTCTTCTCATTTTATCCTTCTCTGAACTAATGAATATGAAAGTTACATCATCTTCAATCTTTAAAATTATTATTTCTAGAATATAAAAGCTAGATTTTTTTATACTTCCATTCTCATCTCCAAGTAGTATAGGAGGATACCAAGTCAAATTATTTTTAATTACTTTTTTTGTGTGGACAACACTTTCACATTAAGAAGTGATGAATACAGTGAATAATTCAGAGTGTAAATTTCTGCTTCCTATAGATGTAAAAGTTGAAAAGACACCTTACCTGTAAATAGGCCTCCAAACCTTGTCGTCGTTGCTCCAAGACTTTTGGGACCCAGTTTCTAACATGTTTGGAAGGAATTTCGGGAGTTTTTATACATTTCTTGAGCTATAAAGACATAGAATCATCCTTTAAAATTTGCAGAAAATGATTTTAAAAATTCAAAGACAATGCTGAAAAAAGAAAAAACCCACAAAAATGACACAGGATAAAAATGAATCAGACATAACAACGGATATGATACAAAAATCTATTTAAAAGTTCTTCCCCAGACTTATATGAACTGATACAAAGTGAAGTGAGTAGAACCAGAATACTGTATACAATAAAAGCAAAATTGTAACAATGATGAACTATAAAAGACATAGCTACTCTGATTAAGGCAATGATCCAAGACAATTTCAAAAGACCCAGGATGAAAAATGCTATCCATCTCCTGAGAGAGAACTGATGGAATGCAGACTGAAGCATACTTTTTTAACTTTATTTTTCTTGTGTGTGTGTGTGCATGTGTGTGTGTGTGTGTGTGTGTGTGTGTGTGTGTGTATGTTTTCTCTGCAACATGGCTAACACAGAAATGTTTTGCATGATTTCACATGTATAACTGATATCCTAATGTTTGCCTTCTCAAGGGGTGGGAGGGAGGAAGAGAATTTGGAATTCAAAATTTTAAAAATAAATGTCAATAAAATTTTTACATGTAATGGGGAAATAACTAATAAAATAAAAACTTATTTAAAAAATAAAAAAAGTATTGCCCTAAATATCCTTCTAAAATGCTAGAGATTTTATTATACGCCCTTTTAATATTTTATAATTGTATATATTTCAAGTATATGACTATTTTTCCCAAAATATTATAAACAAACTGAAGTAAAGTGAATTAATCTAAAAGTGAAAAGGTATAAATAGTTCCTTAAATCAATACAAGCAGAATTTGTTTATGTAAATAAATTTAAAAGTTAGCACTGTAAGTTATTTTGAATATGTTGAAAAAAAGTAGAGCAAAATGTTGTCCTCAGTAACACATTCTGCCTGGGAAGGTTTAATACTATACTATGCCATCTCATTTGGAGATCACTCACAGAAAAGTAAACTTAAAAAACAATAGGAATGATCCATCTACATTTAAAAAATCAACTGAAAATACTATTCAATGAAAATTGAATGGTCCTTTTAAGAGGCAGATGATGAAACCTCTTTTCAGCCTTTTGGCAGTCAATGGACTAAAGGCATAGAATGATACATGTATTTTCAGGCATGGCAAATGTGTTTTGCTTAACTATACATATTTGTTTCTGGGGAACTTTCTATTTGGGAGTTGGGGGGATGGTGAGTTAGTGGGTAGTGACAGAAAAAAAGAGCATCAATAAATCATTTTTATGTGCACAGAAGAAAAACAGAAGTATATCAGGAGACATAATGAAGAAATTTTGATTAAATTGTTAAATTTAATATATTCATACACTATCTTTCTAAAAACTATATGTAGCAAATTTAGTTTCTCACATAATCCTTTTTTTGTTTTTCTTTATATGATAACATGTGTTTATTAAGGTTTTTTTAAAAAAGAAAAAAAAAGGAACCTGCCTTTCAAGCCAAAGTTTTCAGGGCTTTATGGCTAAGTGTAGCTTGAGAAGAAAAGGCCAAGGAGAAAGAGAAACTATTTCAACTATCAAAAACTGAGTTAGATCTTCCTCCATTTAAAAAAAACAAAAACAAAAAAAAAACCTGATCTTAATGTTTTAATTAAAATTATGAAAACTCTACTTAATGTCAGTATGTAATTCTTTGTTCCGCATCTAAAGAATCAGCATGCAATAATGACTAAGAAGCTTAACATTATGTCTTCAATAAACTAAAAATATGATGTGTCCACAATATTATATTGTAAACTTGCTTTTCAAAACACTTTATAACAAAATAACAAATGGAATAGATTTTGGTGCTATATGTCATTCTTTTTGCTTGATTCTGTCTCTGAGAAAATGTGGAAAGAAATGCAAGGACAAACTCAAAATCAACTTTGACATGCTTGCCCATAGGGGACTGAGAATTTACATTTTGTCTCTGAGCTGACTGAGTTGTTTCTGAAGCAAAAGCAAAGCCAACAAAGCCAAATCATTAAGAAAATATTTATTACAACTTGAGATATTTTCAATTTCATAATAAATTTCCTTTAAAAAGTATTAAATTACAACTCATATAATATTTAAGAAGGAAAAACCAAGGCTCTCTACATTATCCCAAAGCTGTAGCAAAAAAAAAAAAATTCCCCCTATTTATGTGTCAAGAGTACTGAGGAAGCTATCATCAAATACCTACTGGGATGACAGCATTTGTAGGTGAGTAATGAATTGCTTTAGATGAAAGAAGACAAACTTGAAACAATATAAGTTTACAATAGGGCTCGGCTGCTTACAAGATAAATAGTCCATTGCTACTCCACTGATGATTAACAGTCTAGGTTATACTGTGATTCTGTTGTACAACTTTTACCATCCATGTGGACAGCCAAAAGATATACAAGATACTTATATGAACACAACCCTATTTTCTCAGGGTGGATTACCGTGCATTATTTTTTAGACAGTATTACATCTGTTTCATGAAATACCTTTTTGCTGTAGAACTTGACTTAAAAGATAATTCAGTTATACTTAATTATTTTCCAAAATTTGGTTAAAATACTTTCTTTTTTGGACACAGAATGATAAATATAAATAGGTTTAAGAAGAATTCATATAAACATATGGTTGATAAATCCAAAACAGGAGATTAAGGATAAAGAAAACTAAGGATATTTGGAGTTTAATGCTAATGATGACATGATAGAAAGAAACTAAAATTCTCTCGGTGTCACTGTCATGAGTCAGAATACTTGGTTAACTGGTTTGACTTAGAATGGCATTTCTTGGGTTCTTTCATAATTCATTTTTCACTAAGTGAAATGCAAGAAATTCATTATTTTATTATTATAGATCATGTGCTATGTACTCATAGAAAAATGACTGGAGTCAGTATTAAGATAAATAATAATAGCTCAAATCAACAGTTAAAACCTCTATGACAAGAATGAGGTCTGGGAAACAACGACAAACAATACTGTAGATCATATGAGATTACTACAAATAGTTTGCATTTAACTCTCCTACACCTGGCGACTGAGTTTTCCTACCATACTCTTTACTATGCACGTGTGTATGGAACTAGGGACCACAATTCCAAATAGCAGATTTTCTGTTTCATTGCAGGGCATAAACCCAAGTGAAATGGAACATTTTGGGGAGAACACTTTTAAGCTTTTAATGAAAATTGAAGTGAAAATGAAGATATTTTTTCCCATTTCTGGCATAAATTACAAACTATACAGTATCAGGGAAAGTAGTTGTGATTTCCAACTTTAAGTCCCCATAGACACCAATTTAACCAGAAATCTACAAATATCAATGAAATTCTCTGCAACTGATTTCTTTTTTTTAATTAATTTATTTTGAAGTCTCAACAATCAGTTCCATAAGCTTTTGAGTTTTAAATTTTTCTCCCCCTTCCTCCCCACCTCCTTCCCTAAGATGGCACACAATCTGATATAGGCTATACATATACATTCCTATTAAACATATTTTCACATTAGTGATGTTGTAAGCAAGAATTAGAACTAATAGAAGGAACCACCAGAAAGAGGAAACAAAACACAACAGAAGACAAAAAATAGCAAATAGTATGCTTCAATCTGCATTCAAACCCCATAGTTCTTTCTTTGGATGTGGATAGCATTTCCCATCATGAGGCCTTTGGAGATGTCTTAGACCCTTGTGTTGCTGAGAAGGGTCAAGTCTATCAATATTAGTCATCGCACAAGGTGGCTGTTACTGTGTACAATGTTCTCCTGGTACTGCTCACTTCACTTAGAATCAGACCATACAAGTCTTTCCAGGTGCAACTAATTTCAATTGAGAAATATCCAATAAATGACTATTGTTTGCTCAAACTTTCTGATGGCCTGATTGATTGATTGAAACATAACGAAAGATAAAAAAGAATTATTAGGCAAGGTCCCTGTCTTCAAAAAGCTTACATATCTTGGGGGTAGATGAAACAAATACTTGTGAAACAACTAGAGAACAATTATATGCCAATATGTACTTATATACTATTGGAATTCAGAAACCAGAGAAATCAGTGGGGCCTAGGGCAGCAAGAAAGACTTCATGGAAGAAATAAGACTTCACCGGGGCCTTGAAGAAAGAGTAGAACTTAGGTAAGTTAAAAGTTGAGGGAAGAACCTCTTAGGCTATGGAAAGCATTAAGAAAGATACAAAGACAGAAATTAGAATGACATGGGTTCAGTGAAGAGACCAACTTAACCATAGCATAGGGCATGTTTGGGGAAATACTGGGAAACAAGGATATTCAGAGTGAGCCCACAATATGGAAGGCATTAAATGCCAAGATGAGAAGTATGGACTTGATAAAGAAAGGAATACATTCTAAGTTCTTAAGCAAGTGTGGAAAACAATTAAGAGTGAAATGAAAGTGGTATCTTTAGGGCAGAAGTTAGCAGAGGTGAAGAGATTCTGAACTAACAAAACAGAAATAATTCAGTAAGGACAAATTCAAAGATATTTTAAAGGTAGAAACAATAAGGACTTTGTAACAGCTGAAATATAATAGGATAAAGGAGGGGGAAGAATAGAAAGTTAAGAAGGGAAAATATTTTCTGGGCTAACAAAACTTTAAATAAAAATATCTTCTAAAAGATCTATCTTGGATCGATCTACCCTTTAAAATATTAACTTTAATATAATAAAATCAAAAACATTTTACAAGTGCACAAGATAAAACATTACTTTATACTTTTCTGGAGAAAAATCAAACTAATATATTAACAAATATTTCTTGGCTTCCTCTTAATGTGAACAAATACTGAAAATATTGATTAAAGTGCCTATTGTGAAATTTCTACAATACAGGTAGTCAACAGAATGTACTTAAATGACAATGATTACAGTTACCTCTTCAGTATTAATAGCCATTGGCTTAAAAGGCACTTCTGAAGGTGCTGGGTACTCAGAAAAGAAATTAAAGCACTTATTAGCAAAATGTAT